GAACTACGGTTTAATTCTGAAAGTAGCAAATATTACTTTCTAAATATATATTAAACTTTTTTAGCGACAGTTAAAATGTGCCACTAGAAACAAAACAGATTAAATTTCAGGTTTACTAAAATAGAGTTTCGTTAAAAAAAAATTGAATTCTTCACTTTAAGTAACCAAAAAATGTTGTAATAAAGTGAATTTTTTCTTTTTTTTAGACTGCAGTTGTTGAAATATAAATGTTATTTGCTGGATTTTATTAGACATAACACTTTTTATTTGTTAGTATACGCATGAAAACCTAAAAAAAAATGTTTTACAGCTTTTGTTTTATAGCATTTCTTTATGTATCTGATAGTTTTGAACTACGGTTTAATTCAACAAGTAGCAATAATTTCTTTCTTAATATATTTTAACATTATTAGCGACGGTTAAAAATTGCTACTAGAAACAAAACAGAATGGATGTCAGGTCTATTACAATCGATTTTTGTTGAAAAGAAATTGAGTTCTTCACGTAAATTAACCAAAAAATGTTGAAAAAAAATGATTTTTATCCTTTGTTTGGACTGCAGTTGTTAAAATATCAATGTTATTTGCTACATTTTAATAAACGTAACGCTTTTTATTTGTTAGTATACGCTTTAAAACTTTAAAGAAAACGTTTCGCAGCTTTTTTTATATAGCATTTCTTTATGTATCAAATAGATTTGAACTATAGTTTAATTCAGAAAGTAGCAAAAATTTTTTTCTACATATAATTGAACATTTTTTGCGACGGTTAAAAATGGCTACTAGAAACAAAACAGAATAAATGTCAGGTTTGTAACAATCTATTTTCGTTGAGAAAGAATTTAGTTCTTCACGTAAAGTAACCAAAAAATGTTGTAACAAAATGATTTTTGTCCTTTTTTTGGACTGCATTTGTGGAAATATAAATGGTATTTGCTGGATTTTATTTACCGTAACACTTTTTATTTGTGAGTATACGCTTTAAAGCTGGACAGAAAGCGTTTCATAGCTTCTGGTAAGTAGATCTTGTTAAGATTTTTTTAATTATTAACTTCCAATTAATCTAAAAAGTAACGAATATTTCTTTTTAAATGTATTATAAATTTTTAAGCTAAGGTAAAAATGTTCTATTAGAAACTTAACAGTATAGACGTTTGGTTGACTACAGTCGAATTTTGTCAAAAAATAATTGAATTCTACTCGAGAAGTAACGAAAATGTAATAAAATGATTTTTTCTCTTTTCTTCGACTGCAGTTGTCGAAAAGTAAATGATATTTGCTAGAATTTATTAAATATAACTCTTTTTATATGTTAGTAAACGCTTTAATACTTGAAAGAAAACGTTTTATAGCTTTTGTTATATATCACTTTTTTAGAAATTTGATAGTTTTGAACTACGATATATTCCAGAAAGTAGCGAAAATTTTTTTCTAATTAAATAAAAACAATTTTAGCGACAATATCAATATGCTACTAGAAACAAAACAGAATAAATGTCCGCCTTACTACAATCGAGTTTCGTTGAAATAGACTTGAATTTATCACGTAAATTAACCAAAAAATGTTGTAATAAAATGATTTATTCTCTTTTCTTGGACTGCAGTTGAAATAATGATTTTTGCCAGATTTTATAGGACCTAAAACTTTATATTTGTTATTATACGCTTTAGAACTTAAAAGAAAACGTTCTCCAGATATTATTATATAGCATTTCTTTAGATATCCGATAGTTTTTAACTATTATTTAATCTAGAAAGCAGCGAAAACTTTCAAAATATATTAACAATTTTTTAGCAAGGGTAAAAATGCGCTATTAGAATCTAAGCAGAATAGACGTTTAGTTGACTACAATCGAATTTGATCTAAAAACAATTTTTTTCTACACTTGCAGTAACCTAAAAAAGTTGTAATAAAATGATTTTTTTTCTGTTTTTGGACTGCAGTTGTTAAAATATAAATGTTATTTGCTAGATTTTATTATACCTAACACTTTATATTTGTAAGTATACGCTTTAAAACTTAAAAGAAAACGTTTTATAGCTTTTGTTATATAGCCCTTTTTTAGAAATTTTACAGTTTTTAACTACGGTTTTAATCCCGAAAGTAGCAAAAATTTCTTTTTAAATATAATAATACATTATTACCAACGGTAAAAATGAACTAAACGAAACTAAACAGAATAGATATTTGGTTGACTAGAATCAAATTTCTTTAAAATATTATTGAATTCTACAGGAGAAGTAACAAAATAAAGTTGAAAAAAATGATTTTTTTCTGTTTTCTTCGACTGCAATTGTTGTAAAATAAATGATATAGGCTAGATTTTATTGGACCGAACACTTTTCACTTGTTAGTTGTTCGAGAGAGAAAGATTAGTAGGTTGAATGAGATGCTTTACGAGAAGACAAGGAGATAGGCGAGATTGGCTAGTGGAATGTATAAATGAGGAATTTACTGGTAGAATTTATGTGTAACAAGATTTATTAGATATTTTGTTCAGGAAAATAGAGATAGCGAAAGTATAATAGATTTTTTAAAAGCAGTAATAGATAACTACGCCACGTGTACCGGATATCACGCCACGTGTACCGGAAGTACGTAGCACGAGAAGCAGTAAGAAAAAAAAGAAGGAAAATATGATAATAAAAAACGAAAGAATTGATGAAACGAAGAGTACAACAAAATTGAGAGGTCAGAACGAATAAAGAGAGGTTCAGATTAGAGATAAAGGTTGTAAGATTACCTGATAAGTCGGTAATGAAAGAGAGTATAAGGAGATGGTCTAGATGAGGAAACGTGAGGTGAGAGATGAGATGGAACGGTGAGAGATAAGTATTAAAGCGAGATGAAGACTATGAGATGAATTCACAAATTTCAGAGATTGTTAAATATACGTCCGCACTGTTTAACTTCGTAAAAGATTGTGTTGGACCACGCTATTTTTCGGTTCGATTAGAGGAACAGAGCGGAAGTGGAGAAAAGACAATACACCAATTAGCGAGTTCCACGCTAGGAAGAGATGACCAACAATCAATAGGAAGGTAACACGCAGAGGATGACGACACAAGGGACCAATGACCTATTGACACGTCAAATAGCGTGATCTCTTGATCAATAGAAACAATCGATATGTCTTCTTTTCAGCGATAACAGACGGCGCATTAATTATGATAGCTAAGAGGTGCTGCTAACTAGTCTAAGGGGCGCAATTTTTGAACATTCTCCCCCCCAATTCTCGAGCGTGATTCGAGAATTTGACATAGTGAGATGTGCTGAATCGCTGAGAAAATAATTGTTCCTTGTGCGGTTGGAGAGGCAATGGTGCGAGTTTGACGATAGGTCTATTGATAGTGCTGGTGGCGGTCTTTAGCGTGACAACCCTGCAGAGACCGTCCTTTCCTGGGTGTAGTTGAATCAACCTGGCGAGAGGCCATTTTGACGGAGGAAGTCGTTCGTCGGTAATGAGGACAAGAGACCCTTCCCTGATATCGTTCTGCGATGTCTGCTATTTGGATGTGGTCTGATGCGCCTGCAGGCATTCCGTCAAACACCTTCTCCAAAATTGCTGGAAGCGCTCTTGAATCTGCTGGAAATGAGATAACCTGGAATCTGAGATGTCTGTTAGAGAAGGCTCGGGGATAGTTGTTAATGCTTCCCCTCTGATGAAATGCCTTGGTGTTAATGCTCTGATGTCATCAGGGTCCTCCGAGAAAGAGCTGAGAGGTCTAGATTTGAGAACCGCCTCAACTTGAGCTAAGAACGTGGAGAAGTCTTCGAACATTAGCAACGTATCCGAGATGGTTCGTTTGAGATAATACTTGATTGATTTCACCGCTGCCTTCAATTTTCCACCCATATGTGGTGCCGCTGGAGGATTGAAGATCCACTTAGTGCCGTCATTAGCGAGAAGTCTCTGGATCTTAAGGGATTCCTTCGTTGCAGCTDAGAGTAGCTCCTTAAGCTGCTTGTTTGCTCCCTGGAAGTTGGTACCACAGTCGCTTCTGAGCGTTTTTGGAATGCCCCTACAGCTGGTAAACCGTCGAATTGCCTTGAGAAATCCTTCGGTGGAGTAGTCAGAGACTACTTCGAGATGAACGGCAGAGGTGGAGAARMATATGAACAMDGCTATCCAACCCTTGAAGGACTTTGCACCTCTGCCTTGAAAAGTCTTCATGGTGACTGGCCCGGCGTAATCAAGCCCAGTAGTCTCAAACACAAGAGATAGTGTCACTCGAGATGGCCAGGAGTGGAGCCATGAGTTGTTGTGCTCTTATTCCACGTATTCGAGCACAAGTGAGACAATCTTTGAGGAAGGACTTCACTGGAGCACGACCTCCAATAATCCAGAAAGTCCTTCGAATGTAGGAGAGCGTTAGCTGAGTTCCTCCATGCATGGTTCTGGCATGAGCATCAGAGATGACTAGGTTTGTGAATTTTGACTGACGAGGTAGTATDGCTGGATGTTTACTATCATCATCCAGCTAAAAATTTGGCAGCAATCCACCAACCCTGAGAATTCCAGCACGATTGAAAAAGGCCGTGAGTCGCGTCAGAACGTGACATTTGTTGAGAGATTGTCCCGCCGACAACGTTCTCAATTCTGGTGAGAAATACGCCTCTTVAGTCGCGCGTATCCAGAACGATTTTGTCTTCTCTAGATCTGCTGGATTCAATGGCGATGCGGACAAGCTCGAACCAGGAACCTTCTTAAAGCGCCAGACCGCTCTCTGAATGATTGCCGTGATCCGAAGTAGTTTAGTGAGATGCCGATGAAAGRAGGATRATTGAGGAAGGTCAACGAGGTCCCAAACTAGAGGTTGGGCTTGTGAGAGTGCAAGTGAGATGCCGGGGCGTTCCTCCAAATCCTCTTCCGGTGAGGGTGGCCTTGACGAGGGCCAAAATTCTGGCGACTGAGAAAGCCATGGTGGACTACTCCACCATAGTGGGTGATCAATGAGTTGAGATGCACTGAGACTACGAGATGCACAGTCAGCTGGATTGAGCTTTCCGGAGATTAATCTCCAATGAGCATGGGGTACAGACTCGTGAATAGCGGCAACCCTATTGCCTACGAATTCCTTCCATCTCATAGGATTGTTTTTGACCCATGCAAGGGTCACAGAGGAGTAAGACCACAGTAAAGTAAGAACGTCCGAGAGGTCGAGAAGTCTAATTACTTTTCTTGTCAGCTTGGCTTGCAAAGCCGCTGCTGAGAGTTCAAGTCTAGCAATTGTTAACCTCTTGAGAGGAGCTAATTTCGTCTTAGAACAGACTAGACTGACTACTAAAGATGAGTCAGCATACGACACCCTGAGATATACAACTGCTGCTATAGCAAGTTGAGAGGCATCTGAGAAGCCATGAACCTGTATTGAGGTTGCCTTTGACGAGAGGTTTATCCATCGGGGAGTCTCTGTGACTGATAACTGAGAGAGATGTTGCCTAAACTGGGACCACTCGTGAACTATGTCTGGAGTGAGATGATCATCCCAACCAACCTTTTCCAACCAGAGTCGTTGCATAAGTACTTTCGCCTTGATCACTACCGGAGAGAGGAGTCCAAGAGGATCAAACAATTGAGCCACTTTAGAGAGAATGATGCGTTTCGTGACGGCTTGATGGAATAAGATTGTACCGTGAAAAGTAAACACATCTTTCTGAGAATTCCAGGAGATGCCTAAGATCTTGGTAGTGCTTTCATCAAACGAGTGGACAGGCGAGCTGTCAGACTGTGAGAGAGAGGTGCGAGTGAGGTTGGGAGAATTACTTTTCCACTTATCGAGTGGTAAACAGGC